TATTTTATTATTTTTTTTTTTTTTTTTCATTTAATTTTGTTTTGTTTTAGTTTTTATTAATTATAATTTACATAATATTTATATAATTTTTTTTTTTTTTTTTTTTTAATGCATGTATATGTATCATTCTGTAGATACATAAAAATGTGCTTAAAATATAAAGAGAGAAATTATACTTAAAATTAATATCATAAATAATTTTTTTTTTTAATATTTTTAGTTTTATGTTTCCTTTTATTTTTTTTTTTTAGATTTTGTTCTTTTTTGTTTTTTTATTGTTATACAAAAATACAATACTTTAAAAATATTCTTACCAATCTAGAAATTTTAAAAAAAAATAAAAAGTATTTTAAATTTTAATAATTTTTAAATTAGACAAAAAAAAAAAAAAAAAAATAAATAAAATAAAAGATAAAATAAATTCTTGTTCTAAAACTTTTTATTTTAAAATTATGTTTTATTAATAATTTTTTTTGTTATTTTTATTATTTTTTTTTTTTTTTTTTTTTTGAAAATCCAATCTTTTGTTTAAATTACAATTGTGTTATTTTGCATATTTCTATGAAAATATTGTGTAAATTTTTGAAATTTCTTTTTTGTATATAAAATATATATTTTTAAAATTTCGAAAAACATATTATACAGTTGTATATATATATTGTCATATATATTGTATATTTTTATAAAAATCATTTTTTTTTTTTAAATAAAATGAATACGGAGATTCTATCAGAAGCTAAAATTGTTGACAAAATACAATACAAAAAAAATGAGTATTTTTCTGAATTAGGTGATTATTTGAACTTAAATGGATGTGATGAAAATAATATAAATTTTTCAGAAAAAAATAATTTTGATCTAATAAATAATGAAGGGAGAAGTTATAATAAATTATCTAATGATAATAAAATAGAAAATGATAATTATAATCATAATTCAAGTACAGAAAGTTGCTTAAGTGAAAATAACAAAAATTATACAGTAGAAAAAAAAAAAAATTTTAATTGTATAAATAACTTTGTTGAAATTAATGAAATAAATGAAAATAAAGTTCAAACAAAAAAAAAGAATGATAAGCTATTAATGAATACATCAAATAGAGAAGAAATAAAATATGAAAAATTGAATAACCTTGTTATAGATGAGTTTAATAATGCATCAGAGAAATGTGAAAAATTAATAGATATGGATGAAATAAATAATTTTGAAAAAAATAAAAATAATTATTCAAGTAAAGATATGAGTAATTCAATACATGAAAAAAGTATCCCATTAAATTTTGTTGAAAAAAATAATGAAAACATTGAAAATTTATTAGATTTTTGTATAGATAAGAAAAATTTAGAATTAAATACAGAAAATGTAAATCTTAAAAATGACAAAAATATACATGATAACATTTCAGGTAAGTCTTTAATAGAGGACAATCATGAAAATTTTTGTTTAAAAAATATAAAAAAGAATGACATAATAAACCAATTTTGTTATGATTCCTTAAACGGGAAATATCAATTAAAATTAGATAAAAATTATACAAGTAATTGTAATGATGTCTTCTATGAGGAAAGTAGTAAGAACGAAGAAAATTTTTGTAATAAAAATATATTAAACAACAGTATATATATGAAAGATAAAGTTAAAATAAATAAATCAGATATATCAGAAAAAATTATAATAAAAAAAGAAAATAATAATTCCGATGAATATTTTCAATTAAAAATTATTCAAAATGAAAGTGAAGATAAGGAATCATGTTTTAATGATTTGAAAAATTGCTATAAAACTTGTGAAATAGAAAAAGATTTTGAAATGTTCGTAAAACCTAATGTGAAATATCAATCTTTTGAGAATAGTAACAATATAAGTGAAAATAATAATAGAATGTTTCAAAATATAAATTTATTAAGCAAAAACATTATGAATAAATTCAAAGAAATTAAAAATCAAAAAAGAATATCAAAGCCGCTTAGTTTCAATAAATTAAAGAACAAAATTAACAAAAATACTAAAAAAAATAACTCAGAAAATAAACAAAAAGAAAAAAAACAAAATAATGAAAAAGAATGCTATGAAACAGAAAATAGAAATATTGAAGAGATAAAAGAAAAAAGAAGTGAAAGAAAAGAAAAAAAGATGAATGTGGAAGAAGATGAAGAAGAAGAAGGAGAGAATGTTGAAGAGGACGAGGAAGGTGAGAATGTTGAAGAGGACGAGGAAGGAGAGAATGTTGAAGAAGAGGAAGGAGAGAATGTTGAAGAGGAAGAGGAAGGAGAGAATGTTGAAGAGAAAGAGGAAGGAGAGAATGTTGGAGAAAAAGAAGGGGAGAATGTTGGAGAAGAAGAAGAGAATGTTGAAGAAGAAGAAGAAGAAGGAGAGACTGTTGGAGAAGAAGAAGGAGAGTATGTTGAAGAGGACGAGGAAGAAGGTGAGAATGTTGAAGAGGACGAGGAAGGTGAGAATGTTGAAGAGGAAGAGGAAGAAGGTGAGAATGTTGAAGAGGACGAGGAAGGTGAGAATATTGAAGAGGACGAGGAAGGTGAGAAGGTTGAAGAGGAAGAAGAAGGTGAGAATGTTGAAGAGGAAGAAGAAGATGAGAATGTTGAAGAAGAAGAGCAAGAAAAGGAAGAAGCACAAATAAAATATAAAGTTTCAAAAACAAAGGGAATCAAATTTGACGAAAATGGAAAAAATAAGATTAAAAAAGATGAGAAGAAAATTGAGAAAAAGGAGGAAAATGAAGAAGAAAAAGAAACATGTGAGATCAAAGATGAGAGATATCTTGAAAGACAATTATATAATATAGTGGATCAAAAAGAAATGAAAGATAACGATGAAAACAAAGATGAAAAATATCAAAAAGAAAAAGATAAAAATTATGAAGAACAGCATAAATTATTGAATTTAATAAGAACAAATGAAAGTTATCATAATCAAGAATTTACTGATGGAAATAAAATTAAAAATGTGAATTACATAGATTCTGCTTATGAAAAAGAGAAGGAATACAAATCAACAAGAAGAAAAAATTATAAAGAAAATATGAAAAGATATAAAGAAAATTTACATTTATTTAATGAAATTTTAAAATTTAAAGAAGAATTTAATTATTTGGATTATAAAGATTTAAAAAAAGACTTTGAAAGAGATTTAAAAAAGACAAATCAAAACTTAAAGAAAAATTTAAATTTCAGTGAAGAAAATTGTGAATATATAAAGAATAATAAAACGATTTCATTAAATGAAAAAGAAAATGCAAATCTTTGGAATAATGAAATCACTAAAGAAAATAGAATAACAACGTCAAACGATTTTAATAGTGTGATGAATAATGAAAATTTGAAGTATGTAAATAAAAATGTAAATAACCAATTATCTAGTCTTTCTGTAAATAATGAGAAGACATATTTTAAAAAAGGAGAATCATATCAAATGGATTGTAATAAGAAAATGTCTTCACTTGAACGCAGTAATTTAAAATGTGAAATTAAAAAAAGCGATAATTCAGTAGTTATTGATAATATTAACTGTATGTACAATCTGTTCAACAATCATAAGAATTCAAAGTTGCCTAATACTTTACAACTAAAAAATAATATTGGCTTTATTAACAACAGTAAGATGAATGAATTAAATGAAGAAAGCAAGAATATACATTTAATTGATAAGGATATAAATGAAAATAAAAAAATGATAAAAATTGAAAAGAAAAAAGAAACAACAGAAAATTTATTGGAAAAAAATAACGTTGATATATATAATTATTTATATAAAGAGGGGGAAAAACATTTACATAAAAATGTAAAAATGAAAATAGATATAGAATTAAAAAATATATATTTTGTAAAATATAAATATATAAAATGTGTAGTAATGAATAATTCTGGAGTTATTCTTCATTCTTTTACTTTTTATAAAAATGCAATTGATTTAGATAAGGAAAATAATTTTTTTAAAATATTTAATAAAAACATAGAAAATAATAACTTGTTACAATCAGAAGACATAAATATACTATTAGAAGAATTAAAAAAAATATTTTCAACGGATATTTCTTTCCAACTTACCTTTGATGCAGAAATTTTTAATGGAAAAATAAAAATATCACCATCAACTGTAAAAATATAGCTACATTATATTAATTATTTTCTTTTTTTTTTTATCATATTTTACTATATATATATATATATATATATATATATATATATATATATATATATATATATATATATATTAATTATTTTCTTTTTTTTTTTTTATCATATTTTACTATATATCTACATATATATATATTAATTATTTTCTTTTTTTTTTAACATAATTTTTTAGTTTTATAGATTAAGTTTTTATGGTATTGATGAAATATCTTTAAATGAAGAGAAAGAATTGAAAAATTTAAGAAAAAAAGAAGGAAATGATAAAACTAGTAAAATAAAAATAACATCTAATTGTAAACTAGCAAATAATAAATTAAGAGAAAATAATATAGAAGACAAAAACACAAAAAAAATAAAAGTAAAAGAGAAAAAAAACTCCTATATTGGATTTACCTTAATTCATTTAAAATATATATTTAATATACAAGAAGAAGGATATTTACATTTAAATATATCAGATAAAAAAAATGAAGATTTTGATTTTATAAAAAATTATAAAAAAGAGGATTATGCTTACTTTTTAGATAGCAAAGTAATAGAAAATATGTCTTCTAATAATTTGAGTTACATAGAAAAAATTAGTATGTTATTCAAGGTTCTGTTTAATCACAGCTTGAATATTTCTTCTCCAAAGGTTTTTTTAAAATACAGTTTTTTAACAAAAAATGAGAATACATTAAAAGAAATGAAAACAATTCAAAATTTTGAATTCAAAAATATACTAGATATATTTCAAAAAAATAATATTTCTAACGTTAACATTAAAAAGGATTTAGAAAAATGTTTAAAAAATTATTATAAAAATTGTTCTAAATCTATTTATGATGACGTCAGTTATTCATTATTTGATGAAAAACCTGAAGAACATATAAAAGAAAACACTCAAATTAAAAATAAAGATAGATATGATTTAAAAGAATGTGAATTTATGAATGTAGATTTTTTCAATGTTCCAAAAGATATGTATGTTAATAATTCTTTTCTAAAAAATATTAAATTTTCCAATCTCTTAAACCTGAATGAATCAAATTCAGAGGAAGAAACAGAACATAAATTAAAAAATAATAAAAATATAAATTATTCTGATGAATTAATTAATGAAATGAATAATCTTAAATCATCAGATATTACAAGTAACTTAAAATTGCACATTTTAAATTTATTTAATCTAAATAAAGAATATCATATGAAGATTAAAAAATTGCAAAAAATTATATTTAAATATACAACAGGAATAAATGATTATTTTGATTTTATTGAATTTACAAAAAATAATAAAAATTATAAAATTTATGAAGAAAATAAGAAACTGAAAAAATATATAAAAGATTCTAATAAATTTTTCACTGAAGCTATAGTAAATAGCCATCTTGAAATTCAAAAATTGAAACATAGTAATAAAACAATAAATATTTTATATAATAAAGAAAAAATGAATAATTATAAAGAAAAAATTAGTAAAAATGAAATATTTATAGAAGATTATTCACATAATAAAAATAATATATATGGAAATATAGTTAATAATTTCAATATAAATAAAGAATATTCTGCTAATCTAATAAATAAAAATGATCAAAACAATCATATAATGTATAGTAATCAAAGAGCAAACGGAGAAATAAAAAAAAGACAAAATAATTTTCATACTTCTCTTAATAGAAATCCATCACAACTTTTTTCTAAAAAAAATGATAATATTACATCGTTTTACAATGAAAATAATAATAATGAAAGAAAAACAAATGATTATTATAAGAATTTGAACAATTATAAAAATCATAAATATATAGAGAAAAAAGTTATTTTAAATAATAAAAGTAATAAATCATTAAATAAGTCATATAGTTTATTTAACTTATATAGTGGAGATAATAATAATAATAAATACTGTGATGTTCAAAAAAATTCAAAATTTTTTTCTAATTCAGTTTGTTTAAGAAAAAATTGTTCATGTAATACTAATAATAATTTAAAATCAAAAAATTATAAAATCGATAAAAACCAAATATTGAAAAATTTCTCTAACCCTATTTTAAATAACAAAAATGCATTAAAAATAAATTTAGATTTATCAGAATATAGAAGACAAGTTTTTCCTAATGTGAAAAAGAATTATGTAATTTTAGAAGATTATGATAATGGCGATTCTAGTAATGTAATAAATCAATCAAAAAAAAACAATCAAATGAATAATAAATATTTGAATGGAAATATTCTTATAAAAGAAAATAATGTTATTAACTCTGTAAGCTCAAATAATAGTGAAGTAAATTCTTTGAAAAAAAGTTTAAATCACGAAAATTGTGAAAAATTATATAACATAAAAAAGGAAAATATATATATTACAAAAAATGATATAGTTACAAATACTTCAAATAAGAATTACTCTTCTAATACACTTAACTCAAAAGATAATGTAAATACTAACGAAAAAGAAAAAATTAGTAACAACTATTTTGATGAAATTACAAATAAATATATTAAAAATAATAATAATAATAATTATTATTATAGTTGTAATAATAATGGTAGTGATTATAGTGTCAATAATAACATTATTAAAGATAGTTATTCTCATCTGAAGCATAGTAAAATTAAGAATTTTTCTGATAATAATAATAATATTTATTCAACTAATATTAGCAAAAAAAGTGTAAAAAACAACAACGATGATGATAACATAAATAATAATAATAATAATAATAATAATAATAATAATAATAATAATAATAATAATGGTAAATTAAATGCAAAACTTATAAAAAAAACAAAAAATAATTATGATACAAGTGAAGTATTAAAAAAGGAATATTTTCAAAGTGTTGATTTATTTTCAGTAAATAAAGAATATAATTTAAATGTTATGTTAAATCCTAAAGAAGATAAAATAGATAAAAATGATTTGGAGAAAAATAATTTGCATAATTGTATAAACAGAACAAAATTGTTATCAAATAAAGAGAATAAAATAGTTTTAAATGAAACTCATAAAAATGAAATTTATAATTCTAACAATTGTAAAAGTAATGGAATTAATTTTAAATATACGAAAAAGTATGAAGAGGATATTCATAATGTTAATTGCAAAAAAAAATATATAGAAAATGTAATATCTTCATATGATGATTTTATAATAAATGAAAACAAAAACAAAAATAAGAACATTTTAGAAAGTTTTAAAGAAAAAACTGAAAAAAAAAATTCTACAAAAAAAAATAATAAACTACATTTAAATAAAAAAAATAGCGATAATGAAATTAATGCTATTAAAAAAATTATTGATTACAATCTTAAAAAAAAAACAACTATTAATTTAAATAATGTAGAAAAAAATACACTTTTTAAAAATTTAAAAAATAATAAAATTGATTCTATTGGTTTAGATGAAAAAAAAAAGGGTTATGCTACTAATAATAAAATTATAGAAGTATCAAAAAGGAAAAATAGGGATTCACAAGATTCTAATATTTTAGACATCATAAATAAAAATTTAAATAAATCTTTCAGTCAATTAGATAAGATAAAAAAAAAAATTAATGAGGAGTTATTAATTTAAAATATTTAAACTTTTTTTTAAAATTTTATATCTCATATGAAAAAAGTAACACCTTTATTTATTATATATATATAATTTTTTTATCTCTTTATATTTGTATTAGAATATTGTCAACATTTTTGTAAATTTTATTTTTGTATTTCTTACTATTTTTTAATAAATATTGTTATAAGTTCATATAGATACATTTTTTTTTTTTTTTTTTTAATATTAAGCTTTGTTTTTTTTTTTTTTTTTTTTTCTATTTTTTATGTTTTTTTTTTATTTTATTTTGTTTTATTTATTTATTTTTCTATTGATAAAAAAGAAGGGCTTTCTAATAAATAATTTTATTAAATTTTTTTTTTTTATATATATATATAAAATGTAAACCCAAAAAACATTAGTGCTCTTTGTAAAATTTTTTCTATTTTTTTTTTTTAAATTGAAAAAATTAATATAATTTAATCAAGTAATTTTAAATAGAAATTTTAATATTTAAAAAAAAAAATAATAGTAAAAAGATAAGAACTATTATTAACAATAAGATTTGAAAATTTTCAATTATTATATTTTTTTTTTTTTTTCAAACTTTATAAAAATTAAAGGTTAATTTTATATATATATATATATGTATAATTGTATAATTGTATAATTGTATTTATTTTAATGATTTAAAAAATATATAAATTTTTAATCATTGTATTATGTAAAAATTTAAATAAATTATGAATTAAATAATATTTTTTATTAAAATACACATACGAATCATTTAATTTTTTTTTTTTGAGGAAATGTCACAATTTTTAATTGAGCAAATTAGATACTTACATGAAGAAATTGAATTAATAGAAAAAGCCTTAGCAGAATTAATTGAAGAAAAAGTAAAAAATAGTAAGAAAAATATTTTATATGATTATTCTATAAATTATTTAGTAGAAAAGATTCAGAAAAAATCAAAAACACTTTTACAATTTTATAATGATGAAGATAATTTAAAAAAGGAAGAAATGCAATTCATTGCAGGGAAGACTAATGATGAAAAAAATGATGTATGGAAGAATTATTATGAAAGAATTAAATATATAAGAGATTATCATAAAAAAACTAATATTAAAAAAATAGAAGTGAAAAGTTATAAATCATATAAAAATGAAGCTTTAAAAAATAACAATTTAAAAGAAATGTTTTCTCCATTAGAAAAAAAAGGGAAATATGTTGATATGAACAAATTTTATAATGATTTTATAAATATAAAAAGAATTAAAGAATTTAGATTAAGTATGTTCAAAAAAAAAGAAATGGCTAGATTAAAAAAAAAAAATTTAAATGAAAAAAGTGCTTTTAATAAAACAAGTGAATTTAAAGAAATGGATATAGTAACATACTTACACAATTTTACAAGATTTTATTATATACCTAGATATTGTAAATATAGAAATGAAGAATATAAAAGTTATTTAGAAAGTTTGTTAGATTATTTAATGAATTATTTTGCAAAAATAAATATACTAGTAGATTGTAAAAAGACTTATGTACAATATGAAAAAAATTTCAATGAAAAATTCGAAAATAAAGAAGTGAAAGGTTGGGAAAAATACACCTATGATTTAGATTTTTATTGTAATATAAACAATAAGTTGTATGCATCGGAAGGAACATATAAAAGTTATTTAAAAAGTAAAAAATATGATGATGATTTAAAAAAATATTTAAAGAATGAGTATACATTGGAACAGGAAGAAGAAATTAAAAAAAAAATAGAAAAAGAAGATAGAGAAATTGCAAAATGCGAATATTTAATTGAATTATATAAGAATTTACTAAATAAACTTTTTCAAAAAACAATACAAAATATACAAAGAAAACAAGCATATACTGTAGATGAATTGCAAAAAAGAAAAAAAACAGAAAAAAAAAATGAATATATATTAAGTATAAATGATGATATTAACAACAATGATAATAATATTGATCTTACACATAATTTATCTTCTTCTATGTATTCTTCAAATGATGATACTTCTGAATTCTCAGAAATAGGTAGTAATGATGAAGAAGAAAATGAAGAAGACAAACCAATATATAATCCTCTAAATTTACCACTAGGTTATGATAATAAACCAATACCATATTGGTTATATAAATTACATGGATTATCAAAAGAATATAAATGTGAAATTTGTGGAAATTATTCTTATTTTGGTAGAGCTATGTTTGAAAAACATTTTTATGAATGGAGACATTCATTTGGAATGAAATGCTTAAAGATACCAAATACACTACATTTTAAAGAAATTACAAAAATTGAAGATGCTTTAAATTTATATGAAAAATTAAAAAAACAAACACAACTAAATATTTTTAAACCAGATCAAGAAATAGAATGTGAAGATTCTAAAGGTAACGTTATGAATATAAAAGCATATGATGACCTGAAAAGACAAGGATTACTCTAAAATATAAATATAATTTTTTTCATATTCTATTTTATTTTTTTTTTTTTTTTTTTTTTTTTTGTTTCCTATTATTTATATACATATATGTTATTTCGTTAACATAAAAATTATTTTATGTAATTTCTTTTTTTTTTTTCTTTACTTTTTTCGTAGATATGTTTTTCTTTTTAATAAAAACTGTAATATTTTTTATATACTTTTTTTTTTTTTTTTTCTATTAATATATCTTAGTTTGCACATATGTTCATTTTATCTAATTTAGGATTTAAAATTTTTAACTAACATAAAACTATATTTTAATATTTTTTTAAATTATTTTTTTCTTTAATTATTATTTAATTTTATTTATTGATTCCAATATATATTTTATTTTCATTTTTGATAAAATTTTCAGTACATACATAATAATAATACTATTTCAAATATTTATTTATTTTTTTTTTTTTTTTTTTTTTTTTTTTTTTTTTTTTTTGATAATAAAATAAGTTTTATATTATAAATGGTTAAATATATTTATCATAAATAAAAATTATTAATTTATAACATATTTAAAGAAAGCTTTAAAAAGTTTTCAGGAAAACAGAAATTTTTAAAATAAAATTAAAAAAGGTGTATTTAAAATATAACACATAATTTCTTAAAATAAAACTACATAAAATACTGTCATATATGTCTTAATATAAAAATTATTATATTTATGAAAATTATTTCATAAAAATATTTCTACTTAAAATTTTAAAATAAAAATAGCTTAATTTTTATAAAAAAAAAAAAAAAAAAAAAAAAATATAATATCCAAAAAAAGCTACAAAATTTTTTTAATTTTTTTTTTTTATAAAAATAACCATAAAATAATGGGTAATTTCATAGAAACCGTTGTAATATATTTTAATATTTTTTTATTTTCTTTATATTTAATAAGGATACAATATATAAAAATATACTCATATATATATATTTTCTTAAAGAACTTACAGATATACAACTATTAAAAATAAAAAGTTCCATTTTTATGGGTATATTTAAATATGTGTAGAGTTGTATTTTTTATACAAAACAAAAATAAAAATTTTTTTTTTTTTTTTTTAAGATGAAGATAGTTCTCCTATTCTAATAGATACAAATAAGATAAAAAAAAAAGACAAAAAAAAGAAAGAAAAGGTTAACTTTAAAAAATATATTATCATATATATTTTGTATATTATTCTATTAATAATTTCTTCTTCCTTTTCTATTATAGATTAAGTATAAAACTCGCGTTAAATGGACACAAAAAGAAATAGAACTGTTGATTAATGGAATAAATGTTAAAATATAATAAAAATAAACATTTGTTTAAAGAAAACAGAATGTTGACTATTTATTTATATATTTATTTATTTAAATATTTCATAGACATATGGATTATCTAACTGGTCAAAAATTATGAATTCTTATAGTTTTCCAGAATATAGGTTATTTTATTTAAAAAAAAAAAAAAAAAAAAAAAAATTTCTTTTTAGTTATCTCTTTTTTTTTTTTTTAGAACAAATACCAGTTTAAAAGATAAATATAGAAATTTTAAAAAAGTTTTCATAATAGAAAAGGATTAAAAATATTCTTTTTTATTAATGATCTTTCTCAAAAATTTTTTTTTTTTTTAAATTTCTTTTTGTTTTTGTAAAAATAAAAAAGTTTTATAAAGTTTTGTAAACTATTAAACACCTTAGCTTCACTATTTATAAGATTTTTGTCTATTTTATAAATTTTGTAAGATTTAACTGTAATTTTTTTTCTATTAATTAATATAGTTAAATTTTTCAAAAAAAAAAAACTATTAATACAATTTTAAGGAAAATATAATAAAAATTTACAATTTTTTTTTTTTTAGTTTTTTATTTTATTATATACAACAAATAAGTTATACTATTAAAAGGTATGTAACTATTTTTCAAAAAAAAAAAAAAAAATAAAAGAGTCAAAATGAAAAAGGAATAATTTATTCTTTTTATTATTTTATTTTATTTTTTTTTTTTTTTTCTAATTATGCAACTTTTTATAAAGATAAAAATGTGTATTTTTACACTTGCACATTGAGTAAAAAAAAGTGTGTATGTATTATGCATGTGTATATATATTTTGTTTTTCATATTATAAAAAAAAAAAAATAAATTAAAGGAATGTATTTTTCTTTTCTTTTTTATGAAAATATATTAAATTTATCCTTATTTTTTTTAAAAAGAAATTATAAACAAAATGAAATATATTCTTAATGACATTTCTAACGAGAAATTAAAAAAACTAGATATTAAAAAATACACAAAAAATGATTTATTATATTTAAGAGATTATAGTTCTTTTTCTTGTAATTAAAATTGTTTAATTCTTAATATTAACAATATATTAAAATTTTGTTTATTACGATTGTGTTTACCTTTTTTTTAGTTCAAAAACTAGAAAAAGAAATAGAAGAAATAGGACGCTTATCAAGCGAAGTAACAAAAAAAAAAAAAAAAATAAAGTGAAATAAAACAAATTGAAAATATTAGATTTAAATATATTAAACCATTTTAAAATAAAAAATGATATTATAATAAATGAGTACATATATATATATATATATATATATATATATATATATATATATATATATTTAATTTTTAAGTTAAAATTTTAATTAATACAAGTTTTATATTATTATGAATATTTTATATTAAATTTTTTTTATTTTTCAAAGGATCAAAAATTATATGGTACTTTGACTTCTATAAACAATATAATAGACCAAAATTATACACTATATGTAAAATAAAAAAAAAAAAAAAAAATAAATAAATAAATAAATAAATAAATAAATATATATATATATATATATATATAGAATAAATATATTTTTATTTGTAGTGCTTAATAATTGAAAACAATTTAATTGGCATATTAAAAGTAAAATGAGAAAACAATATAATTCTATAATTATTTTAATTAAAATTTTTCATTATTACTATTTTTTTAATTAGATAGGTTCAAAAAACTTATACTTGTATGATAAAAAAAATTTGCATTATCAAAGATGTACATGTGTATTAGGTTCTTTAAAAAAAAAAAAAAAAACAAATATATATTTATTTTTTTTTTTTTTTTTTTGGTTTTGTTTTATTCTTTTTTCTATCTGTTGAAATATTATATTATTATCTTTATTCTCTTAGATTTCTATATATTAAATAATTTTCAAAAAATGGGTCTTGGAATAGTAATATATATTTAAAAAAAAAAAGTAAAATTAAAAATATACTTAATTTATATTTGTATATTTTTATTTATTAGAAGCTTTTTAATTTTATGCTAAAAGACAACAATATTGCACCATCAAAGTTATGGTACATTTACGAAAATTAAAAAAATGACAAAATTTAAAAAAAAATTGAACGTATATATAATTATTTTTTTGGTTATCATCTTATATATACATACTTTTTTTTTTTTTTTTAAATTTAATTAAAAATATCTTTTTATTTTTTCATATTTTTAGCTATGATAACCCATCTAAGAAGCTTCAGAATTTTCTAAAAAAGTATTTTTCCCCGTGTAATTTAATTAAACAGGTTTTATTAATTATTTTATGAAAAAAAAAAAAAAAAATTATATAAAAAAATAATTTATAATTTTATAAATTTTCCTTTTTTAAGCCCAATAATTTTGTTATTTTTTCTGAGTACTTTGACAGTGTAATAGTAGAAAAAATTTTCAAAAATCATTATTTTCACTAACAAAATATATGTTATAACTTTTTGTTATTATTTTTATAATTTATAGAGTCTTGAATATTTTAATAGAAATTACGCAAATATAGAAAATAGAAATGAAAATACTATGAGATGTGCATAGTTTACTTTAGTAAAAGATGATAAATAATGATCAGATATATTTATAAAAAAATTTAACATTTTTAATATAAATATTTTTTTTAATTTCAATTTTTTTTTTTTTTTTTTTTCCGTAATTCAATATTATTAAGAAGTGAAAAATTCATGAAACATCTAACAATTTTAGTATTAGAAAAAATTTTGATATTCTATTTTCCTTGTAATTTTTATTTTATTATTTATATGTATTTATTTTTAAATAAAAAAAATTAAAATAATATGTATTTTTTTTTTTTTTATGTCTAGTTATTATTTACAAGAAATTATAAGAAAATAGATGAAAAAAACTTATTATTTCTTTTTTTTTATTTTTTCTAAATAATACTTATTAAAGCAATTACTTCCTTTTATTAAATTTTTATAAATTCTATAATGAAGTAAAACCTTTTAACTAAAATTTTTCTAATGAAGTCAAGAAAAAAAAAAAAAAAAAATGGACATAAAAAAAGAAAACAAAATACTTACTTCTGACAGAAAAGACAACTTGTCTATGCATCAAAAATTTGTAAGATATAAAAAATTTATGTAAATTTATTTAAATATTATTTATTTTATATTTTTCCCATTATTTTAATTTGGAATAAAAAAAGGATAAATTGATAGATGAATATTATTCAGACTTAAAAGATGAAAAAAAAACAGAAAAATTAGAAAAGCACCCTCAAACTTGTGATCACATTTTTAAGTCAGTAAACAGAGACAAAACTGATTATGCGGTTAAAAAACTTAATATAAAATTAATACTTTATAAAAATCAACAACTATTAAAATAAAAATTTTTTTTTTTTTTTATAAATTCTAAAGAGAATAGATGAGAATGATGAGCCTCCCATCTTTACAGATTTAGTTGAAAATGGTTTAATTTAATTTTTTTTTATTTTTTATTTTACTAATTATAATTTTTGAGAATTTTTTATTTTTCTAAAATAGAAGCAAAAATTGGAACTTTAAAGATTAATAATCCCTTACCTAAAATTGAAAAAGTTAATTATATATTTAACTTTTTATATTAGAGAAATATAAAATAAAATATTTGCTTTTCATAGAGAGATGAACTAAAAAAAAGTTATATGAAATGGCTAAAAACAGAAAAATTAATGGTATATAAATTTTTATAAATATCATTATCGATATTAAATTCTGTAAATTTTTTTTAATTTCTTCTTCACATATAGAGACCAGAAGAAAGGAGATTAGAATACGAAAATATGCAAAAAAAATACTTGGAGGTGAAAAAGGATATTCGTGAAAATCTTGCATATTATAAAAAAAAAATTATATACATATAAATAAACAATTAATATTTCTTAATCTTCTTCTAGACTTTAAAATTAACTCAAGATATAAAAAAAGATGTAAAACTTGCAAGAGTAATTAAGTCTCATTACCCTAGAGGAATAGTTGGTTTTTTAAATATTTCATAAAAAATAAAACAAAATAAAAATAGGATAAAATAGAGTATTAAGAAGTTATAATAGTTACTATAATATAATTAACAAACTAAATTAGATAAAAATAACAGAAATATTAATAACTGAAAAAAATACAGTTGATACATAAAAATTTTCTTTTTCTTTTAAAAAAAAGGTGTTGATTCTATATATAATGAAAAAACATTATTATATAAAGACCAGTATAACGAAATTAAGAATAAACAAGAAGCAAAAGAGAAAAGGTTAAAAGAAAGGGGGGAAGGTAAATATGTTCTTTCTAATATACCTACAACTTTCGAATAATACTTTTTTTTTTTTTTTTTTTAACATATTTTATATTTTTTTTCTTCTTCAGTCTTAGAAAAGTATAACAATAAAAATGGTAATTTTTTAGCTTTTGAAACAGATAATTAATACTTTATTTTTTATTATTTATCTAAAAAGTATTATATTAAGTATTTATTTTTTTTTTTTTTTAATACTGTATACATAAAAGAAATACAATTGAAAAACTATTCATTTTATATTAGAATATTATATCTGTAAATATGTGATACTATTAAATTGTATATTTTGAAATTTATGTCTACTTGTCTTTTATTTGATATTTTTAATAACAAACGCAAAACAAAACAAAGCAAAAAAAAAAAAAAAAAAAAAAAATATAATAAAAAAAAAAAAAAAATTAAAATAATAAGTTTAATTATTCTTTAGTCAATGGTAACATAGAATCTAAAATATATATATATATATATATATCTTATTAAAAAACATTGTATTAAAAAAGGGGTTTTCTTATTTTAATTAATGTAATGTTTAAAATAATAATCTTTATTATTTTTATATTGTATATATATTAATTTTATATAGTATATAAAAAGAATATTTTCTTTATATAAATATCTTTAACATTTATTTTCTGCAAAGAGGGCTTGTTTATATACTAGATTATCAATATAAATCTCATTAAAATTAAAATAAGGGGACAAATAAATATTTTAAAACTAATAAATTACAAAAAAAAAAAAAAAAATAAAATAAAATAAATACGTATATACATATATATGTAATATTAATTATGGCTCCATAAATTTACGAAGAATATATTTTATATAGCCACAAATTTTGTATAAGAATAATTTTTTCATGAGAATTATTTTTTTATATTTTATTATTTAATCTTAAGTGCTTTCTAACAACCATATGCATTATATGTTCCATTATTCTTGTTTATAGAACCAGAATTTGGATATGGAATATTTTCTAATGAGATATTGTTAGGTGTAAACGGTGGTAAATTATTATTATTTCTCGGATTATTCATAATATCATAATAATTATTCCTTAAATTATATCCATCTTTTACTAAATAATGCTCATTTGAATGGATATTAATATCATTTATATATGAATGTACATTAGCGGAATTATTTAGAGGATTTATATAATGTTTATTAGGTAAATTTAAATTGCTATTGACAGCATTATAATCATTTAATGTTTGATTATTTCCTATTGAATTTAAATTATTAGGTGATTTAATAGTGTAATGTTTAGATGGCACATACTGAGAATTGTATGTATTAAGTTGACTAGCTAAAATATTTTTTTCATTTGGAATAATTGGATTTGAAATAGGGTGTAAAGCATATCCACCTGGGGTAATTGTTTGAGGTGGATATATATTTTCCTGATATATCGGCATTCCATTTTCATTATAAATGTTATTATTAATAGGTCCACTATTATTCCTTAAAACATTATTATTGTTTTGACTCTTTTTATTATTTAACTCCATTTTGTTATTTTGTGATCTAACCTTATTTAAATATTCCTTCTTTTTTTTTTTAAGATTGCTTATATGAATTGAGAAAAATACAATAAAATTAACTGTTGCAAATAATCTAACTAATAAAAACAATTTATTAAATTCATCATCTAGTATAAAATCAAGTAAATTACCTGTGTACTCATAAATTTCGGTCAATGTAATAATAGCAATTAAAAAAAAGGAAGCATACATCAAAGCCAATGAAATGAAGAAAATTGAAAACATTGTTGTAAGTAATAAAATGCAAAACAATATAAAATCTATTTTCTTTGAAAAAATTAAAGTTATTTCATAGCTGTACGTGATAAAATAAAAAAAATAACAAATATAGAATACTATAGAGATAATTATGCCTGATCTAGGATTGCTTTCCTCCATCTTGATAAAGTTCTTCAAAAATTAAAAAAAAAGTGAACAAAATTTTTTATATAATTTATACTTTTAATCCATTTGACAAATGTTTCTTACGAATTTTATTAAAAATGTATAAATTTTTTCTTTTTTTTTATTTTTGATTTAATAAAATATATATATATTTGCACAAATTATGAACAATTTTATGATAAAAATTTATAATTATTGACACAACGGACACAATATCTGAAGAATTTTATTAAATCAAACAAAAAAAAAAAAAAAAAAAAAGGAAACATAGAATAAAATTCAAAAAAAATTAATAATTTATATATTTAAATTTTTATGAATTGAAATTTAATGCTTTACAAAAAATATATTTATCCTTTTTTTTTTTTTTTATCTTTAATAATTAATTATCATTTAACATGCATATTAATAAATTTTGTCTGAAAAAATATTAACAGTTCATAAAAAATATTGAAATGGATTGAATTTTATTTTTTTATTTTTCTAATATAAAAAATACTAAAAATCATGTGTAACTTTAAAAAATTGTTTTTAGATATTTTTACACTTTTTGTTTTTCTACAAATACTAATTCATCTCCATAACATCTCGCATTATTAGTGTTTATGTTGTGAAAAATAATTTAAAAGGAAAATAATAGAATTTATATTTAGAAAAAAAAAATCAAAAAAAAGATAAATCTATATTTTTATAAATTATTTTGATTAGAACATATGTATAAAATAAAAGGAAAAATGAATTTTTTTTTTTTTTTTATTTTGTTTTAGAAAATTTTTTTAAAATGCATGACTGGAATTCATGAGTTTTTTTTTTTTTTTTTTTTTTTTTTTTCTAATAAACCTTTTTTAAATAAAATTCTCTTTTTATTATACAATTTTTGTAAAATTATCGTTATTGGTTTCACTTGAATTATAGTATTTGCAATAATAGTGAAATTTAACAATATAAAAAACAACTTTTATTTAATTTTTTCCTAAAATTTAGTATTTTAAAGAAGTAAAAATCTAAAGAATATGCTTAAGTAAAATTTATTATTTTAAGAAAATTATATTTTACAATTTTTTTTTAAAGTAAAAAAAAATATGCTTTTATTTGATATGGACAAAATTATATTTCCATTTTAAATTAATTTATAAATTATTATATTAATAATATAACTAACATATTTAATAAAATACACATACATCTAGAGATATTTTAAAATATTTTTAAAAATTTATTATTAGACATTTACTAGTTAAATTAATTGTTTAACATATGAACTTTTTTTTTTTTAATATTCATAAGAAGTATATCAATATTAAAATAGTATGTCCTTTCTTTTTAAATAAAGAAATATATTAATAATTTTGCAAAACTATTATAATTATTCTATATTTAAGGTAATTATTAATATCATATTTATTAAATAACAATTTAAGAGTTACATAAATTTTAATATATTCTCTATGTATTAGCTACCTTTTATATATATAAATAAGTTTCAAAATGTTTTTTATTTTATTTTTTTTTTAGTTTATATGTAATGTAAGAATTTTTTTTCAAAAATATAGACCATCTATATTTCATTGAAATTAACTAAAAATTTTATTCTTAACCACACAATTAATAAAATAAGATCATTACATAATTAGTGTCTATATAATTTAAAAATATCAATGTTTTCATTATGAATTACTTTAAATTTTTTGATCGTATATAGAGAATTTCATTAAGGGTAACTAAACATGTATAAAATATAAAACATTCAAATTCATTAAAAAAAAATTAAATAAAATAATTAAAAAAAGTTAAATTTTTAAAAACAGAATTATTCTTTTGCAAATGAGCCTTTTTTTGATGCTATTAAAAAAAAAAGAAAAGAAAAACCAAAAAAAAAAAAAAAAAAAAAAAGTAAAATGAGATTTTTTTTTAGAAAAATACTAAACATTGCCAATTTAAAAAATTTATTATAAGGAAATGAAATTTAATTGTCATAAAAATTACAAAATAAATATCATTAATTTTTATTACTTTTAATGACTTTATGAATATGAAAATAAATATAAAGTCAGTAACGAAAATTATGCAAATAAAGAAAAAAAAAAAAAAAAAAATTATTTGTTTAAAATTAAAGTATATGTAGTCTTGAATAATTTCAGATAAAAAAATAATTCATTAAAAAGTATACTATATTTATTTAAAAATGGAGGATAAAAATATAAAGGTAAAATTAAAAAATAAGCAAAATAATAATTCATTAAAAAAAAAGGAAAATAAAAATAATTTATATAATACAGTAATGAAGCAAAGTAAAAAGAAAATAAGTAAGATAATAAAGAAAAAAAAGAGATTTTATAATAAGTTTAAAATTGAAAATACTAATTCTTGTGTACATAATAAAATTTCAAAAAATGAGAAAGCAATAAATGATAACTTAATCAATAAAAATCCCAAGAATGGAATAATAAAAGATATATCAAAAAAAAAAAAATCTACTAAAAGTCATTCAAATACGGAAAATAAATCAAAAGAAATTAAACATCCTGATATGAACAAGAGAAAAAATATAATATATAAAAATTTGATAAAAAATAATGAAAAAGTTAGCAAAAGTACTAAAATTAAAAAGGAAGAAAATAAAAAATTTCCTAATATAAATACTTTATATAAAGATACTGTAAATAAAAACTTTTATTATCATATGAATAAAAAAAATGAGGATCCTTGTAGCAGTTCTAATTTAGAAAAAAATAAACAAAAATATAAAAAAAAAAAAAAAATTGATAGAAATCCTGAAGATATAGTTAATTCTTCTTTATTTAGATATATTAATGAATATATGTACACAAATAAAAGTATAGTGGTTGAAAAAAAATTAAATGAAACAAAAAATATTTTTAATATATATCATTTAGGGTATAAAAACCAAAAAGAAAAATGGCCAAACAATCCTGTAAATGTTATAATAAATTATTTAAAAAAAAATTTTACAAAACATAACAATATAGGGGATTTAGGTTGTGGTGAAGCAGAAATTGCTAAAACCTTAAATGATTGGTTAATAGATTCTTTTGATTTAATTAAGTTTAATGAATATGTCACTGCTTGTAATATAACGAAATTAGAAAAACCAGATGATTCTTATGATTGTCTAATTTTATCACTAAGTCTTATGAACACTGATTGGCCAAAAATTATATTCGAATCTGTTCGATGCTTAAAAAAAAAGTTAAACTATTTATAAAATTATAATTTTTACATAAATTTAACAAAATTTTAATTAACTATACAACTGAAAGAAAAGATATATATATATATTGTGATTATTTTATTTATTTTTATATTATTGACCTTCATAATTTATTTATTTTTTTTTTTTTTAGGGGAACATTAATAATAGCAGAAGTTGTAAGCAGATTTAAAAATTACAAAGCATTTATGAAATTTATGAATAATGTTGGATTTAAGTTATCAAAAAAAGTATGTTACTTTATATTATTTTATAAAATATTTTTTAATTACTATTTTATTTTATTTTATTTTTATATTTTTCACTTAGGTTAATTTAGATGATTTTTTCTTTGTGTTCTTTTTTGAAAATAATAAAAAAGATAATTCTACATATATATTAAGTGAAAAAAGAGTTAAAAAAGTATCAGAATTACTAACCCCTTGCATTTATAAAAGAAGATAACATGATTTAGAAAAAAAGAAAGCAATATTTGAAATAACAAATATTAAATAAATTTTTTATTCATCAAATGAAAATGCTCTTTATAATATTACAAAAAAAAAAAACATATTTATTTTAAATATATAAATTAAAAAAAAAAAAAAAAATTGAATATTTTTAAATAAGTTTAAAATATTTAAATAATTCATGAATAGTCATCATTTTTGTTTGATTTGAAAAACGATTTTTATATTCAATCTTAACATTCTGAAATGTAAAATATAACTTATTTAATAGGATATTTTTAGAACTATCTATATAGTTGTAAAAATCTATAGGTAATTTTATTTTTTTATCTAAATTATTTAAATTTATTATAATTCTATTTTTTACTCCTATTAGATCGCAATGTTTTAATTTTCTCGATAAATGTAAATCAGTATCATCATAATATATATCTATATTATTATTTTTAAATGAATTATATAACCATAATGTTAGTATATATTCAATATCATTACTATTTAAAGAATTATAAGGCATTACATTAAGTAGATCACCATTTTTTTCTTCATTCTCCTGTACATTATTTTTTTCATAATTTTTTATACTCTCTTCTTTATTATTTATATCATCTTTAATATCACTGTCTTTAAATTTTCTTAAAATACTATCAATTTTTTTTGATGAATATTTACTTTTCTGATTTGTCTGTATTAAATAAATCGTAAAAGGGCTTACTTGTTCAGGTAATTTTATTCCATCGTCATCATAAAAATGATCGATTAAAAAATATAACAGCCTGAAAATCCCTATCCCATAAGAACCCATAAAAATGTTTTTTTTTTCATTTTTTTTGTTTAAATATTTTATGTCTAATTTTTGTGAATAATAATCTCCCAATTTGAAAATATGTCCAGCTTCTTTAAATTTTCCATCTCTACATAATACCTGAAATTCATGGCTTTCTAAAGCATTCATTTTATCTTTTTTTCTTTTTTTTACAATATTAAAAGTTAAATTTAATTCTTCAAATATATTTTTATAACATTCTTTATATACTTCGTAAATTTCACTCAAACATTTTTCATTACTGTGAAACGAATAGCCATCTTTCATTAAAAATTCTTTACTCTTAAAAAGACTTTTTTCTAATCTTTTTTCATTTCTAAATTTATAATTATATTGATGTATCAGGATTGGTAAACTTTTTAAAGTTACATTTTCATTATAAATTTGATTAATCAGAGCTAAAGAAGATTCTTCACAAGTCGGACTCAAAATATTTCCATCATCTTCAATTTTTTTTTTTATAGTTTCTTCTGAGCACTTATCAGCTTTTCCTTGTTTTTGTTTGTAAACATATAAAAATTCATCACTATACAATTTAGATCTATCTGATAAATTCCATAATCTTTTTGTTTGAAGAATACTTAAGCTTAAACAATGTGAGTTTAGCTTTTCTAAATGCCTATTTATTAAATGTATTATTTTATTAATTACTCTCAATCCTAGTGGTAATATATTAAATAACCCATTAATATCCTTTACATAATTAGCTCGTTGCAATAATTCACTTGCCTTATCTCCTTTTTGTTTTATATTGTCATTAAAAATTCTATTAAATACATATTTAGAACCAAAGTAAGACTGATTATTATATAATGCATATTTATTATATTTTTTATTGGAAATATTATTTAAAAAAAAATTTGCTTTTTTTTTTTTAATCAATTTCAGTGAAATCACATAATTTAATAAAATTATAAATATAAAAGCTTTATATAACATTATAAACCATAATACATTTTTTTTTCATTTTTGCAAAATTTTATTCCATTATATTAAGCATATATACAATATTTTATCTTAAAATTTACCAAAAAAAAAAAAAAAAAATTAAAACTTCTTTTCAAATATGACAATTTATTATTATAGTTAATTTTTGAAAAAGAAAAGATACTATATAAACTATTATAAAAATTTACTTATTTTTAATATGAATTAAGTAAACAGATAGTAATATCCTTTATAAGAAAATGTAAATAACAAATATTGCATATATACATATGTCAAGAATTTTTTTGTAATTTTTTGAAAGGTTCAAAACGTTTTAAAATATTTGCTAAAAATGCATTTTATATTCAATAATTCTTTATTATAATAGTTATAGTTTTATTCTGTAATATTTAATGAAAAACATAATACTAAAAAAAATTAAAAATTTATTATATGAACAAAAAAGAAAAAAAAAAGAAAATTGATACATTGATAACGAAAAATTCGAAAAAATGTTAAAAAAAAAAAAATTTTATATTATAAGAATAATATTTCAAAAAAAAAAAAATAAAATAAAATAAAATAAATGAAATAAATATCATAATGAAGAATAAAAAATAAAAAATAGAATTTATAAAAAGAAAAATAAATTATTATTATTTATGTTTATACAATATTTAAATATACTTTATATAAATATCTAACAAAAAGAAAAATACATTTATATTTTCCCAAAAAAAAAAAATTATGTATGAAAAATTTTTATTATTATCTAAAAATAAATGGAATAAAAAATTAAAAAAAAAAAAAAAAAAAAAAGGATATGATCAAATTTTTACAAAGTTTACAACATATAGTCTACATTTTTTCGCAAAGCTTGGGCATTAGCTCTTAAGGGAGCAGTATTAAATGTTACAAAATCTTTTTCCATGAATTCATCTACAAGCATTAAAGATGCAGAATTTCCACAACGATAGCAGTAATTTGGTGCACTAAAAACAGTAACAACTTTATCATTATGCATCCACTGAAAACCATCTTGTACTAATTGATGTGCTCTACAAATACAACGCAAATTATTCATACGTAAAAATGTATTAGTTTTTTCTTCACTAAATAAAACACCTGCACCTCTTGGGGATGGTTTCCATCCCTCCATAATTTCATCTTCTGGACCTGCTGGGTCACTCCATAATAAATCACAAATTGCACCATCTTGTGGTATTTCTTTAAATCTATCTAATTCATTTATTTCATCAATTGTATGTAAATATGGTGATATACCTCCATGGTCACAAAATATTTCATCATTTATAATTGCTGTTAAAGGTAAGTAATCAAATGCATCTGTTAAATATTTCCACACATTATAATTATTATTATATTTCCTTATACATTCATCATAAAAACCATACACTTTTGTTATTTGTCTACTCTCGTGATTTCCTCTTAAAATTGTTACTCTTTTTGGATATTTTATTTTAAAACAAGCAACTAAACAAAAACATTCGCAAGAGTAATAACCCCTATCAACATAATCTCCTAAAAATAAATAATTAACGTCCGGTGGTAAACCCCCTAAAAGAAAAATATAAATAAAATAAAATAAAATAAAATAAAATTAAATAGTATAGTATTTATCATAATATTATGTATTCATATAAATATATATATATACCAATATGAAATAATTCTAGAAGATCGTAAAATTGTCCATGAATATCTCCTGCAACAGTTACAGGAACATCTACTTTAACACAATTTTCTTCATCTTTTAATATATCTATTAAAAGTTCACACATTAATTTTATTTCTTCAATATTCAATAATTCACATTTAAATAATTTGCAAATCCATTCATCAACATTGTACATAATTTTTGATGAATTCATATTCACATTATAACTTATGTTATCTTTAATTTGACCATTATCTAAGGGATTTTTTTTATATTTTTCTTTAGAAATTTTCTCACAATTTTCATTATATTCATTTAATTTTTCATTATTTAAAGAACTATTTCTATTTTTTTTTATTTTTCTATTATATTCATTTTCTGAGTTTACTTCTTCATCACTTAATTCTTTCACAGATAAATTATCATATAATTTATAATTTTCCTCACTTATAAGTTTTTGATAATTTATTGTATTTTTATCATCATTTGATATTTTATATTTTTGTTCCAAATGTTCATTATCTTGATCAATATGATCGTCATTTTTCATTATTTCTAGATTCTTACTATCCTTTTTTAAATTTTTATTTAAGCATTTTAAATTATTATTTGAATTTATTATATTATTGAAAATAAAGTCCCCTTCTGATAATTCATAATTTCTCATTCTTCCTTTTATATTTTAATATATGCTACACATATACACATATATATATATATATATATATTTTTTTCTTATTACTAAAGGGTAATTATATTCTATTATAATAAAATACAAAGATTTTATCTAAAATTTTACTCTTGATATTATTCTACAGAATAAATTTTCTTTTAAAATATATTATAATTTTTAAAATACATATATATTCTGTTTTAAGTGATAAATGTTAATGGTAGTTTTAATTTAATTTATATTTAAAGGTTCAGTATTGAAGTACTAATATATGTATTTTATTTTATGATTATAAAAAATTTCATATAACCTTTTTAATTTCTGTTTTTCTCTTTTTTTTTTTTTTTTTTTTTTTTCAATAGATAACAAGTTATTCTTATAGATAATTTCTTGTTATATAATTTTTTTTTTATTGAAGAATTAAATTAAAAATTATATGCGTATATATTTAATTATTCATGTAACATGTTCATTAAATTTTATAAACCATTCTATCATATTATTTTTAAATGTAAATATGTTTTTTTCAAACTTTCTGCATATCTAATTGAAATAAAATAAAAAAAAATACACATTTATAACAATTGAAAAACCTACAGATACTTAAAAAGTAAATATAGCTAACACTACTTTTTATTATGTAATTTTTCTAAATTTATAATAATATTTACAAGATTAAACTACTTTGGATAATAAAAAAAAAATTAAGATATTAAATGAATTACTTTTATAAGAAATTGTATTATATTATTGAGGTTCTTTGTAAATGTCTTTTTAATTATTGTGTATTAAAAGTTTTTACATATTAAATCAAAAAGTAAAAAAAAAATAAAAATAAAAAAAAAAAAAAAAAAAAAAAAAAAAAAAAAAAAAAAAAAAAAAAAAAAAAAAGAGAAATATTTAAAATAAAAATGATTAACTAAATAATATAATTCTAAACAAAAATGATACTTTTAAATACGCAAAATACTTTTTAAAAAAAAAAATCTTATGAGTTTCTTATATTTTTTTTTTTTAAGAAATATTTAGTTCAATGTAAAATATTTATATGAAAAAATGAATAAAAACATAGTAATGTTGCTAAATAATTTAAAATAGATTATATAAAATTAAATATATTACTACTTTTTTACTTTGAACTATTAATATATACAACTTATTACTAATACTTTTTAATAATACTTTTTAGGAAAAACACATTTTAAGATACATAATTATTATATATGCTTTAGTGAAATATGCTTCATTTTTTTTTTTTTTTCCTGTTTATATAAAAATAAAGAAAAAAAAATAGTTACCTAATCCTTTTTTATTTAATTAAAAAATTATCTTTTATAAGCATTTAAATTTATTATTCATTGTTCAATGTGCTATTGGATATTTTAAATCTATTTTGAATAAAATAAGTAAATATAATTAGATAAATATAAACATAAAATAATAAAGGTTTAGGAAATATTAAACATATATTTGCATTAATTGAAAATGTATTCTTTGAAATTTTATAACAAAATAAGACATTATAGTTTAGGGAGATTATCAAGAAGAAATCTATACACAGTAAATAAAAAAAAAAAATCAAAACATTTTTATACAATCATGAAAAATATAAAATATATATATATATATATATATAAAATCTAATAAAAATATTAAAAACAATTAATTACAGGAATTAAATAATATGGATGATTATTTAAAAAAAGTAAATGGGGAGAAACTAGTCGTAGCTCAATTTGGAGCATCATGGTGTGCACCTTGTAAAAAAATGAAGCCATTAGTAAAACATTGAAAAAAATTATAACTCTTTTTGTTTTATAGAATATATTTTATATTAAAGAAAATTTTCTACCTTTTTTTTTTTTTTTTTTTGCAAAAATAAAATAAAACCAAATAAGCATATAATTTTATGTGTTTACAAAACAAGATGTTTTTTTAAAAATATTTTTAGATTAAACAGTTAGGAGAAGATAATGAAAACATTGAAACTTTATACATAGACATTGATGAATTTCCTGGTTTATAAGAAAATAAAAATATATTTATAAAATTTTTTTTTATTAATAAATCATTTGTATATATATATTTAATGTTTTTTCTTAAATATTAATAAAGAACTAGGAGAAAATGAAGATATAAATGAGTTACCAACTTTTTTATTGAGGAAAAATGGAAAATATTTAGATAAGATTATAGGTATATTTATTTGTTATTAATGAAAATAATATTTAATACAAAAATTCTTTTATTTCTTTGTATTTTAGGAACGAATGAAAAGGAATTAATTAAATCAATTGAAAAACATCAAAAAGATTAAATTTTTAGGATATATTTTTTAATATTAGTTATTTAAGGTGAATTTTTGAAGATTTAAATAACTTTTTTTAATAATAAATAAATATAAAATATTATACATTATATTAATTATTTTAATAATTAATCTTCCTTTGTTATGTATTAATTAAAAATAAAAATAAAAATTTTGTCCTATTTTCTCAATTTACAAAGATTTATATATATATATAATTTTATTATTTAATTTGATTCTTTTTTTTCTCCTTTTTTTTATTTTATATTATATTATTTTTTATTATTTAGATATATAATGTTACATTTTATATTATTTTTTGTGTAATTTTGTATATATCTATTTTTTTTTTTTTTTTTATCGTATTTTAACATATTATTTTTTTTATTTTTCTAAGATGNGTGGGTAATCATTATAATTTGCAAATCATATTACGTAAAAAATGTATG